TGATTTTAGCAAATGGCTGCAATATAACAAAGAGTGAAAAATTGAAGGGGGTCTGAATACTTTCCGTACCCACTGTATCTCTCTCTCTCTCTCTCTCTCTCTCTCTCTCTCTCTCTCTCTGACACGGAGAAGAGTGAAAACTCCTCACATGACCGCTTCTGAACATAATGAAACAAATGCACATTGATGGATCTTCTTCCGTCTGTTCTGCAAAATGTAAACAAATATATTTCTGCCAGTGTAAATATCAATATAAAATATCAATTAATATCAATATTAATTGTGTCTAGGCAAAGGCATTCCTCCTGGAACAGGTCGCTAACGCGGGTTTGGCGGGTGTTCATTTCATACTCTGTTACATTTTATTTAATGCATAAGGTACATGTATAACAAACTGGTAATGTCATAGTGGTATTGTGTACTGTAATCAAATGTAGCCTATCTATAGCCTACCTGTGGAACCGTAGACGGCACACACGGTGTTCATCTAATAAAGATCTTCATAGCTAGCAAACAATAGTCTTTGCAGATTTGCTTTCAATTGACTGTAGATCCAAAGCCACGTCTTCAATGCTCTTGATGTTCTTAAACTTTCTGTTACATCTCGGAGTAAGAACCGTTTCAGACAACTCCGTGCATGCAGCAGGGAACTGAACGAATCATTCAAACTGATTCGCGAACCAATTCACTGGTTTGCCAACTGGTTTGATCAAGCTTTTGAACAGAATTGACTCCAAAGAATAAATCATTCGCAAATGGGCATTGCTCATTGCCAAGAGAAAAGTAGACGGCACGTTTGGAATAAACGCAAGCATTTTTAACTCGTATTTCATTAAGATAAAGTAACGAGAGGAGCGTCGCCCACAGTAACGAAGTAAAAGTACAGTTTTTTTCACTAAAAATATACTTGAGTAAGAGTAAAAGTACCCATCTTTAAATATACTCTAAAAGTATTAGTTACCCAAAAAATGTACTCAAGTAACTATAACTCGTTACTACCCACCTCTGACCTTTTATTGACTTTAAAACAAGTAGGGCAAGAAGGAAATAGACCAATAGACCAACTACAGTGCAAGCTGTAAGTAAATTTGTCCCTAGACGGTTTTCAACTTTTCACACGTGAAATGACACCTGCTGCAAAATCAAACTTTATTGCAACTACACTTGTCTCCCTTGCAGTTTAAGCACTATTACTTTGTAAACTAGCACTGCTGCAGAAACCACTTTTTCCAAGCTGAAATAACTTGAACTAGTTTTGTAGATGGTACAAGAAATAGTTTTAAAATATTCACACCTTTAATGACAACCACAGTTTTTAGATTTCTCTCAATTAAAAGGTAAACATGGAAGAAAAATGTCCACAAAAAAGAGAGAAATTATCAACGTTTTATTGCATCTGTCCATTTTCGTTGAATATATCTCATTTCTTTTGTCTTGTTCCTTAAGGTGAATTAGCTTTGTTTGTGGTCACAATGGCCACAACGGAGGCTGCAGATTTAAAGATGTATGGTGTATGAACGGAACTGTTTTTCAGGTTAGTCTTTCAGAAGCATATCAAATGTACAGATTTTATTTTATTTCAGAAGCTTAACGGTATACATTGCTTACTAATTTTGCATAGTTTGCTTTTGGCTAAGACTGTTCATGTCTTCTAAGTAGTATGGGATTTTTTATATTTTTTCTTTTTACAGGGTACATTTACTAAACACTTTCACTGTTCTCAAAGGGATAGTTCCCTCAAAGTACAAAATGACGTGTAATCCATCTGAACTAATCGGATTACTCAGGGTTTTCATCATAGTGATTCTCTTCAGAAGATTTTATTTGCATATATCGATTGACATGCAGTTTTATGCAAAAGGTTGGACACCCCTCTGAGGCAGCCTACTAATTAGCTCTTTCTTTATAAGAAAGGATCGTAGTGATGTGCCATTCAGTTTCTAGAGAATGCTGCATAATGTGATGGTTTTTCATGCAGAAATTCTTAGTGTAGCCATATTAAGTTGTATTAAAGTCAATTGTGAAAAATAGATTGTGCAAAAGTTTGGGCACCCTTTCAACTGTGTTGATTTTAATACATTTTAGAGACCTATTGTTGATTTAATTACAACACAATATTGATTTGATTGGCTCAGTGAACCTTAACACTGCAAACTCAGGTGCAACCCATCGTGGAAAAGGATATTTAAGGTAGTTCATTCAGTGCTTATTATACTGGCGGATAAATCATGGCGGAGATAATGTTGACATTAAGAACCAAGAACAAAGCAATATGCGTGATTTGCAAAGCTCATGTGAAATGCTACAAATCTGTGGAAGCATTTGACCACGCATAAGGCGCCATGATTTCTGCAATGAATGAATGGCTGATTGCACAGATGCACTGTTTTGTTTACTACACACATACTGAAGCACGGACGATGCTCGAAATGAACACACGAATATCATCGCCAGCTGCTCTGAGAGTCACTTCTTTAGCATTTTGCCATTTCATTTGAGAAAACTACCGTCATATCATATTCACAGCAGCTGCAAATTCTTCACGGCAACCCGTCAAAATATAAGTTTAGTTTAATGTGAAGAAATTGTGGCAGAAATATATTACTATTGTGCAGACTTAAGACTCAATGTAACAACAATACTTACTACTACTACTACTACTACTACTACTAATAAATATTAATAAAACTTTATTTTTAAAGGAATAATCACAAAATCACCAAAACACAAATTTAAAATTAGAATGATGTCATGTTATGCATGTTCAAAAATCTTATTCGGATGTAACCTAAACTTGTCAAATCAAAAATTAAACGGACAATTATCCGTTTGTGAGGTATTCCAAATAAAATGGAAAATGAAAGTTTGAAGGCAATTTTTACCTGTTTTTTTTTTTGATGGTGCAAATTGAACAAAGAACTGCAAACTGTTACACAGACCACGGAAGCTCAAGTGAGTGTGTGATGCACAAGAAACAATGAGGTTCGTTCTTGCACACCACACGTATGTTTCATATAGATTTTCAGTGAATGGACAAAAATAAGAATGAAGATGAACAATTTTTATAGATTTGGAAAGGCATACGGTTTTCATTTTTGGGTGAACTAAACCTAGAGGGTTGTTTTCCTTTAAGTATATTAATCCACATAACCTTTAATAAACTAATTATAATGATCACGTTTTGCAGTTGTTCATGTTTATCTAAGGAACAAGCATACCATTGATCGTGCCACTTCTAACAAGATGAGACAAGCAGATGATGGACAACGAGATAAGGACAAGGTCTTGTGGTATTCCCTAAAGACTGCAACTCTGCTGCAGATACTGATCTATGTGCTCATGCTTCTTAATAATATGGGAATGTAAATGCAAACAAAAAGAAACATTTAAGCATTTGAAGAGGCTTCTGACAAAATATATTGAATATTTTATATTTGTTGCAATTGAAAATGTGTTTTATAGTCTGTGTAATGTAAATATCACTATATTAAATGAATAAAAGATTTTCACTATGGTCAACATAAAATGTTGTCTTGATTACATTTTCATTTAGTCATTTTGCAAAAGCTGTTATCCAAAGCGACTTACAAATGAGGACAATTGAAGCAATCAAACACACCAAAAGATAAATAATATGCAAGTGGTATGACAAGTTTCGGTTAGCATAGCAAGGTTTTTTATATATTCTACTCAATTCAATTCAAGTTTATTTGTTTAGCGCTTTCACGATGCAAATTGTTGCAAAGCAGCTTTACAGAAAATTAAAGTTTTTACATTTAGTAGTAGCTTATCAGTGGTGACCATCAAGTTGATGTCCATATGGCAGAGATGTACAGTAAAAATCAAGCAGTTAGTTAATGTCATGTAATCAAACAGACGGTGAACACTATTAACAGCAGCAATGATTGTTGCGATCAAACTTATAGCAAAATTTTGTAGTTTTGTATGTTGTCTGAGGGTTGGCATAATCTCTTCTCAGGTGTTTGGTCGTCTCGGGTCTTTGTAAGGGCTGGATCCAGACTGAAGCTTGTGTAAATCCTAGTTACCACGGGATGCCAACCTCATGGCAGAAACAGAGAAGGTAATGGAGAAAAATTAGTGTAGCTGCCTGCTGTTCCAACCAAGCAAAAAAAAAAAGTGTTCAACCCAAGCAAAAGAATGTTAATGTGCATTTGATCATATATAACTGTAGTACAAGGTTTTGAGATACATTATGTGAGTTCTTGGCTAAAGAGATGTCTTTAATCTAGATTTAAATAGAGAGGGTGTGTCTGAACCCCGAACATTATCAGGAAGGCTATTAGAGAGTTTTGGAGCCAAATGTGAAAAAGATATATATATATATATTTATACACACACACACACACAGCAAAAAGAAAACAAGTAGATGGAATAGAAAGCTAGTGATAGGCCTTTAAAAAACAAAAACTAATGGATAAAATGGAGTTAGAACAGAGAGTGCTTGAGTTGGGCAGGTAATTCCATCAGGAGGGAACAATAAATTAACTAATACTAAACAAATACTCAAAGTAATTCACTAAATTCCTTCCATTAAAATCAGCCAAACCACCTGCACTGTAAGCAATGTGTTGTTGGTGTTTGCAGTTTTGACAACTTGAGTATGGTGGGCATGATCGAAGTTTGTTTGCAATGCTCATTTGTTGTGAAAATTGGGTATAATAGATGGTCTGGCTTAGCACTGCTATAGCATAAATTTTGGGGTAAATAAATATTGGAGTTCTTTTGCTAGCAAGAAAAGTTCTTCACCATTAATTTAAACACTGGCCAAAATTATTCTTGCCTGGTTGTGCATGTGTCATGGTGTGGTTTTAACAAACAACCTGAAACATTTACCTATTTTTAATAGGCACTTGGCAAGCTGTTGACAGCATTATCATCAAGAAGTTCATGAAACGCATGTACAGGACATAAAATTTTTTGCGTATGAGGTGGTACTCTCACTAAAATGGCTTTCGAATCAGTCTTATTCCGGAAATAATTTCTTGCTACCGAGTAGAAATGTTGGAGCTGTGGGACAGAGAGAAGTGTGTTACCCAACACATAGGAGCTGTCGTGCTTGTGGGGACCTGAGTCTGCCATGGTTTTATATCCCAGTATTCTTGCTCCCTGTACTTTAGACTAGAGACGCTCGTTCCCTTTCAGTCGGTCACTACGAGTCACGTCGTGACCAAACGAATGGGGAACTCGCTTCGAGAGGCCAATCTACTTCGAGTGTAAACTAAACGATCCAATGCACATTGGCATGCGATAATTGCATCCAGCTGCTGCTGATCACAGTGTGAGCATAAAAAGGCAGCCGGTGCAACGCATACCAGCTTTTCGCTTCGGAGCCGAGCGACAACATCATGCTGCTCCTATCAACTGCTTCGTGTGTGACGAGTTTAGTGCGCTCTAGAGTGCTGCTTGTGTTGGCGGACGGCACTTCAGCAGTGGTCGTTCCTGTGTCATGTGGGTTGCGCACTTCAGGCTGCACTACCCCCTGTTGTGCTGCCAGCAGCCATCTCCCCTGTGTATCTCGGCACCTAAAAGAGCATTTCCCTGAAAGAGCTTATTTCTCTAAAAGAGCTTACACAGGTGTGTCTTTGTAAAGATGACGGATCGTCTTTTTAAAGATGCTCTTTCACCCGTGCGTTTCTGGATGCGGTCGTTACCTGGCGCCAGGTGGTGGTCACGATCGCTTCCTCGCGTGTCTGGGCATTAAACACGCTGAGGTGGCGTTCGGGGATGAGTCATGTTCCCATTGCGGGAAGATGACCATCTCGGAGCTGCGGGCCAGGCTCCGTTGCCTCTGCCATGATCTAGTCTTGGTCCTGGCGGCAGCCATGCGGGAACTACTTCGGGCAGTGGCACGGGCGGTCTGAGGGTTACAGTGGTGGCAAACCCCTCAGGGAACCAACCCTCGGGGGACCATCACTCCTCTAGCGCTTCACAACCAGTCGAGCCGCCAAAGGAACTCGCTGGGCCCTCTTCAAAGAGCGTACCAGTGGTATCCTTCGGTGCTCCTCCCGACGACTGGATGTCGATCACTGCATCGGAGGGAGAGCTCGCCTGAATCGGATCCAGAGATGTTGGCTATGCTTTCCCGGGCCGCCGAGAGGGTAGGGCTCGAGTGGAAACCTCCACCGCGTCCCGAGCCCTCGAGTTTGGACGATTGGTTTCTCAGGGTGGCTCGCGCTGGTTCTCAGCGCCCCGCCTCGTTGGAGAGAAGTGTGTTACCCAACACATAGGAGCTGTCGTGCTTGTGGGGACCTGAGTCTGCCATGGTTTTATATCCCAGTATTCTTGCTCCCTGTACTTTAGACTAGAGACGCTCGTTCCCTTTCAGTCGGTCACTACGAGTCACGTCGTGACCAAACGAATGGGGAACTCGCTTCGAGAGGCCAATCTACTTCGAGTGTAAACTAAACGATCCAATGCACATTGGCATGCGATAATTGCATCCAGCTGCTGCTGATCACAGTGTGAGCAAAAAAAGGCAGCCGGTGCAACGCATACCAGCTTTTCGCTTCGGAGCCGAGCGACAACATCATGCTGCTCCTATCAACTGCTTCGTGTGTGACGAGTTTAGTGCGCTCTAGAGTGCTGCTTGTGTTGGCGGACGGCACTTCAGCAGTGGTCGTTCCTGTGTCATGTGGGTTGCGCACTTCAGGCTGCACTACCCCCTGTTGTGCTGCCAGCAGCCATCTCCCCTGTGTATCTCGGCACCTAAAAGAGCATTTCCCTGAAAGAGCTTATTTCTCTAAAAGAGCTTACACAGGTGTGTCTTTGTAAAGATGACGGATCGTCTTTTTAAAGATGCTCTTTCACCCGTGCGTTTCTGGATGCGGTCGTTACCTGGCGCCAGGTGGTGGTCACGATCGCTTCCTCGCGTGTCTGGGCATTAAACACGCTGAGGTGGCGTTCGGGGATGAGTCATGTTCCCATTGCGGGAAGATGACCATCTCGGAGCTGCGGGCCAGGCTCCGTTGCCTCTGCCATGATCTAGTCTTGGTCCTGGCGGCAGCCATGCGGGAACTACTTCGGGCAGTGGCACGGGCGGTCTGAGGGTTACAGTGGTGGCAGTGTATCTCGGCACCTAAAAGAGCATTTCCCTGAAAGAGCTTATTTCTCTAAAAGAGCTTACACAGGTGTGTCTTTGTAAAGATGACGGATCGTCTTTTTAAAGATGCTCTTTCACCCGTGCGTTTCTGGATGCGGTCGTTACCTGGCGCCAGGTGGTGGTCACGATCGCTTCCTCGCGTGTCTGGGCATTAAACACGCTGAGGTGGCGTTCGCGGATGAGTCATGTTCCCATTGCGGGAAGATGACCATCTCAGAGCTGCAGGCCAGGCTCCGTTTCCTCCAGGGGGGAGGGGCTCCATTGCCTCTGCCGCGATCTAGTGTTCGTCCTGGCAGCAACCTGTCGTGGACTACTTCGGGCAGTAGCACGGGTGGTCTGAGGGTTACAGTGGTGGCAAACCCCTCAGGGAACCAACCCTCGGGGGACCATCACTCCTCTAGCGCTTCACAACCAGTCGAGCCATTAAAGGAACGCGCTGGGCCTTCTTCAAAGCGCGTACCAGCGGTATCCTTCGGTGCTCCTCCCGACGATCGGATGTCGATCACTGCATCGGAGGGAGACCTCTCTGGAGAGGAAGATTCGGCTGCGCTGCCGCCCTCCGGGAAGGTGGCAATGCCTGAATTGGATCCGGAGATGTCGGCTACGCCTCGTTGCCTTTCTTCCCGGAGGTGCATGAGGAGCTCACCAGGTCATGGACGGCACCTTTTACTGCCGTTAAAAAGGTGAAAGTTCTGAAAGAGCTCCGAAACGCTACTGACCTCCCGCTCCGAGCGACTAAGGTCACCGTGAGTACTCTGGGTCGTGCGATGTCCACACTTGTGGTCCAGGAGCACCATCTCTGGCTGTGTCTGGTCGACTGGAGGGACGCCGACAAAGTTTGGTTCCTCAATGCCCCTGTGTCCCAGACCGGCCTCTTCAGCGACGCGGTGGAGAGCTTTGCCCAGCAGTTCTCGGCTGCACAGAAGCAGACTGAGGCGATTCGTCACATTCTGCCCCGGCGGGCAGCTGCTGCCTCCACCCGGCCGCAGCGCCCCAGCCTGCTCGTCGCCGAGGGCAGCCCCCTGTGTCCGCCCCTGCTCCCGCGCCACATCCGCAGCAGCCTTGAGCAAGTGGTGCCATGGAGCTGGGCGTAGGCAGGCCCCCCGTCAAACCTGGCGGTGAGCGGAAGAGCAAGAGGTCCCGGGACGGGCGACCCAGAGAGGGAGGAAGCTGCTCTTTGGGGGATGGTGAATGCACCTCTCCCTCCCCTGGAAGAGGGCCGGGTGGAGAATCTGGAAAATATCGACGAGAGAGCGGTTTTCTCTGTCCCTGTGTCCCAGTAAGGCACGGAGAGTCGCGGACGGACCAGTCAACAAAGGCCCTACTCATGCACCCTCTGCCAAACTGTGGAACCAGGTAAGCGTTACACCGCACACTCAGACCCCTCTTCGG